ACGGGCTAAGCGCAGAGCCTTGGTGTAATCCCATAACAACCGGGAAATGCTCCGAGTCGCCTCTCACAGTCCTAACTTTAGTCTTAGCTCCATCATACATGTCCTTGATCGCTCGTATGTAGGCTACCGGCACGCCCTTCGCCTCAAGACATCTCCAGAGCACCTCCCTAGGAACCTTATCATACGCTTTCTCCAAGTCAATAAACACCATGTGCAGATCCTTCTTCTTATCCCTGTACTGTTCCACCAACCTCCTAATAAGGTGGATAGCTTCCGTCGTGGAGCGGCCCGGCATGAACCCAAACTGATTGTCGGATATAGATGTCGTCTTCCTCACCCTCACTTCCACCACCCTCTCCCAAACTTTCATGGTATGGCTAAGTAACTTGATACCCCTATAATTGTTACAACATTGGATATCACCTTTGTTCTTGTACAATGGTACCACTGTACTCGACCTCCATTCCTCCGGCATCCTCTTCGTCCTAAAAATTACATTGAACAACCCAGTCAGCCATTCCAATTCTGCTCTACCCACACACTTCCAAAACTCAACCGGAATTTCATCTGGCCCGGTCGCTCTACCCCTACTCATCTTACGCAAAGCCCCCATAACCTCCTCCACCTTAATGCGCCTGCAATACCTAAAATCTCGGAGACTCTCCGAATGCCCCAAGTCCCATAGCGCTATATCCCGGTCCCCCTCCTCATTAAGAAGACCATAAAAGTACGTCTGCCATCTCTGCTTAATTTGGGACTCCCCCATCAATACTCTACCATCCTCGTCTTTGATGCACCTTACTTGGTCTAGATCCCGTGCCTTCCTCTCCCCCGCTTTAGCCAGCCGAAACAACTTCCTTTCCCCGCCTTTCTCCCCTAATTCCTTGTATAGACGGCTAAATGCTGCATTCTTAGCCTCCGTGACCGCCAGCTTTGCCTCCTTCTTAGCCACTTTGTACCTCTCTCTATTCGCACTCCTCTCCTCCTGGCTTGTGCTCCCTGCTAACTTCGCGTACGCTACCTTCTTCGCCTCCACTTTACCTTGGACTATGTCATTCGCCTCCACTTTACCTTGGACTATGTCCACTTTACCTTATATAAGATTGTATACATTAGCTATATTAAGACGTGTGTATATATATATGTGTGTGTGTATATATATATATATATATATATATATATATTAAGATGAACTCGGTATCAAAGCTGCAAATTAAAGTTTACATTTAATACTTCAAATTAAAGTTCAATGCCTTCAATATAATACTTCAAATTAATCTAACAAACTAAAACATTAAGCATAATACGTCTAATAATTTTAAAATAACACAAATTGTCTCAAATCAACTTAAAATCTTAAATACGAATGTCTGGAGAACGCTCAAGACAACTCTTTATATGCCTTCTTAAACAGCCTGTGCCCTCCTTTGGACGACGAGTGTAGACTCGACCACAGTTCTTGCACTTTATTACGAAAACTTCTTCATTTTCTTCTACCACATTAAAGTGTTCCAAAATAAATGGGTGCAATCTAGAATCACCGGGCATGATTTAACTTGAATTAAGAATTTGAGTTTGAGAAATGAGAGATGAGTGAAGACTTGAAGACTTGAATACTTCAATTTGAGTTTGAGAAATGAGAGAGATTGATGATTTTGTGAGTAAAAATGAAAGAATGAGGGGGTATTTATAGTTGAGAATAGGGAAAAAGTGTAATTATAAAAAGTTTGGGGTTAAAACAAAGTTTTGGCATGGGGGCCAAATGGCTATTTTTTAAAAAGCCAAACGGCTAAAATGGCAGGCCAACAACTAGTTTTTAAACTTCTAACCGGTGGCCTTTTTTTAATTTTTTTTTTTTTGAAAAATAGCAGTTGGGAGGCCCGGTTGAACCGGCCCAGACCCGCGGTCTATTTTGGGAGGACCGGCCCATAGTGGGATTTTAGGACCGTTAGGGACCGGCCCGTTTGAACCGGCCCGTTTGGCCCGTTTCTAGCGGTCCCGGGCTGGGCCCGGCCCACAATACAGCCTTAGTCTGAATGATGGAATTGAATTCATTACCACATTGTTATGTGGTGTTCTTGTATAACAGCCGACGGATAAAACTTGTAGCCTAACGTTCCATACCCCTGTACAGTTAAGGTTTTCTAATCTTGCTATACCTCTGCATTTTACTGAATAATTGATCCTTTATGAAGAAGAAGAATTCATTAGCCTTATTTTCTGTGGAATAATACGATGATGCAATTTCTCTGACCAAGTTTGGCCTTTCTTGTCTTCATTTTTAAGCAGTAGACCAGACTTGCTTGATGCTGCACTTTTGCGACCTGGAAGGCTGGATCGCCTTCTCTTTTGTGATTTTCCTTCACAGCGTGAGAGGTTGGAGATTCTTTCAGTTCTATCGAGAAAAGTAAGTCAGTTCTATCGAGAAAAGTTAAGTCTTATTCTGATTGGGGCACTTCTTTCAATCAATCCAAAGAGATCTTATAATATGTGGATTACGAGCAGGAGGTATGGGATATGTCTTTCCAGATTAGTATATGCCTCTTCCCCATTCAACTACATGGTAATGGGGCTTGACTTGGTTGGATATACTCATATTTGCCGGAGAAACTGTGGCTGAACTCAATTAGGAATAACCTGACAGTACAAATGGATTTTACGAAGGAAAGATCTCATTTGTTTCATTTGGGGCAAAGGAATGTAGAATGCATAGTACAATATTAGGTAACTATTAGGCTATGCTAAAAGTTAGGTTTCCCAAGGTCACCCATTTCCATGTTCCAATCTGACTCAGTCTTCCTTGGAATTAGAGTGAACGGTCTTTAATAGTCTTGGTCTATATTGCTCTGACTCTCCAAATATGCTGTCTTACCCGTGTCAAATCCACCGTAATGCACTGATCTTGGTTCCTTCTTATCTTTGCAAAGTGACAATATAACGGCGAAGTGTTTGTTATATCATTTTAAAGAAATGGTAGGAGGGAAACGTGATCATTCCTATGAGTAATTTTGGGAGGGATCAAGACATTTTGGATAAATTTCTAACCAGTAAAGCTTTTGCTTTGACGATGGTCCGTATATTAAATTTTTAAGTATACTTTTATTTGAATGAAGACAATAACTGATTTACTTGCTTAAATGCAGTTACCATTGGAAAGTGATGTCGATTTGGATGGCGTAGCTCGTTTGACAGAAGGGTTCAGTGGAGCTGACCTCCAAGCACTTCTCTCTGATGCACAGCTTGAGGCTGTCCATGATCTTCTAGATAGTGAAAATGTCGGCAAGCCTGAGAAGAAGCCAGTCATCTCTGATGCTCTCCTGAAATCTATTGCATCCAAGGCAAAACCATCTGTCTCTGATGCTGAAAAGCAGCGATTATACGACATCTACAGTCAGTTTTTGGATGCAAAAAGATCAGTGGCTGCACAGGTGCGGTGTTCTTTGCTTAAAGCTGGAGTGGCAGATGATTTACCTCCCTCTATCGCTTGCTAGTATGATAACCTTTTCTATTGTTTGGTATAGCTAACCTCCATTCAACCCTGTTTATTTACAGTCAAGGGAAGCAAAAGGAAAAAGAGCAACCCTCGCTTGATGATTGACTGCTACTCGAGCTCTATGTGCAAGAGCTTGCTAAAGACACACTAATGACTAGCCTGATCACTTGCAGTAGCTGCATTTTGGGTGGAGTTTGTAATGACACCATCCCTTTTGTCATTTATAGTTAGAAATATCTTGTTGTAGCAGTCTTTCCTCTGTGGGGGAAAGTTCAAAAGGAAAACTTGCATTTTTGGGATCTTTACACAAATAGCCGGCGATATTCATTGTTTACTTTTTTAACCATATACATAGATGATACATTGATTATACATTATTATACACATATAATACATAAATTATGCATATATACCTCAATCGGCTGCTTTTAGTTTAAGTGGTTAGGTGGGCGGCTATTTGAGTTAATTCTTCTGCCCGGATTCTCAGTGTCATTGGGCATTCGTCTTAGTTTTAGGAGAAGAGCCCATGTCAAATGAGTGAGTGATGTCTTGCCATAGTTTTTTCTTCTGGACAACTAAAATGCGTCTGCAAAGAAAGTTCTGCATTAATGAAACACAAATGACTTCTATCTGTTTCAGCTTTTCCCCCAGGAAAAATGATGGGATCTTCTGCAGAAGTTAGAAGCACAGAAAAATAAATTGAGTAGATGAAGAGTTGGATAATCGATTTTTATTTTCAATCCAGTCTCATTCTTCACTTTAGATATTGGTTTTCGAATTTAGCTTGTACTGCTATGGGTTATTTATAACATATTTGTATATGCAGACTCTATATAATAGGTATCAGAAAACGCATATCTCAAAATATTAAGGCAAATAATGCATAATCTCTGTCAATTAGGTACACAAATTCTTTTTTATTCTGTTAATATAAATAAGTATAATATAATACCAATAATGATAACAATGACCATAACAATGATACAATGAAAATGAAGATACAATATTCAAATATATTAGCGTCTGGGATCATAAAGAAAGGGAAGAAAGTAGGAAAAGGAATTAAGCATAAGATAAGGGTGATGAATGTTGGAAATAGAAGAAATGCTTCATTGAAATTAGTTTAGTCCGAGTAGACGAAATGTGATCAAACAAGAGTATCAAGGACCACAAGAATTAATATAGAGTAAGTCGTATAAATTGAAAATGATGAAGTGGAAGTTTTTCTATCTTCATCTTTGTAAGCGTATCAAATTTGTTTGGCATTTTCTTGTACACTAGTTTTTATGTACGTGACACGTAAAAAATATTCAGCTAAGAAAAAAAAATGAAAAAAAAGTAAAGTAAGAAAAATAAATTTGTATTCCTAGTTTAAACTGGTTCTTTTCATACACCTATTTTTATTTTTTGAAAACTAAATTCTAATTATTCTTATATGTACATTTAAGCAATATCATATATTTTCAATTCAATTGAAGTAGCATTGTAGCTAGATGAAAGTCCCAGCCCCAGTTACAAAATTGCATGCTTGATTAATTCCTAGAGTTAACAATTTTGTCAGACAATTTGTATTTTTTTTATTAGGAGCCAATTTTAATTCTTAGAAGTTTGTGTCACATGCTCAGCGGCTCAACTGGTATGCTGAAATTTTCATTACGTTAATTTATTCATCATACTAAAGCTGGATGTCCTTATAAACTCTTTTAAGTGTGTGTAAGAATAATTATTTTATAATTGAGTACTCAAAAGTTTCAATTCAACGGACTCTTAGACTCAACTTCAAAATTTATTATGCTTCCAATGTTAGTTGACTGCGATATCCCTTGACTCTTCCGTAATTTTTTTCTCCCTTAATTAAGTTAATACTCTCTATATATTGTAGATAGCTAATGGTATTAGATCATCTTAATTAGAATTTCTAAAATTTTAAATATTTTCATATCGAGCATGACATGCAACAACACACGTTATGTTCATGGTCTTTAATTAGTTCACAACTGTAATTTACAACTTAAGCGCAAGTCCAGAGACACAATTTTTCTATTTCAACTCTTGATTTTCACAACTATTTCAATTCGATTTGAATTTTGAAATAAATTGTGATAGATTTATTAAAGTAAATTATTATACTTAAGATGCAGAAAAATTTTACATTGAGTGATGAACAAATCTATCGTTGGGTTCCTTTTCTCCTATTATTTTTTAATTTCACATGAAGGATTTTCAAAAACAAAAAAAGAAGAAAAAAAATTGGCATTTGTATACGACAAAATCGGAGGGTCCAATTTCTCATCATCAAGGCATTTCATGGGATCATCTCGAGACCTCGGGGCTGCGAGGCTGTGGTCGATCTCCCTCCCTCGAGGTTCATTGACGCCCGACCTAACAACGATGTTAGCCGCGGTCATGATGGGATTGGAGAGCTCCCTAGGCATGCAGCTAGTGCTGGCAGAGCCTGGTACCATGTAGTTGTCCCATCCCCTACTTTTGTAATTAATATTTTTGTACTATGTTGGGGTTCTCCTCCTATATAAAGGGGGTCTTTGACATTTTGTAAACTCTCTGTTGCTTCAGCTACTCCACACGAAATATACACGAACATTCTCTTTGCTCTCTAACATACTCTCTTGATATTATTGCTTTCATTTATTATCTTCATATTTGTTCATCATTTATTGTTTGTCATTGGCCATAAAGAGCCTTCATTAATTATTTTATAACTGTTAGCCCTACCCCGATCACCCACGATAGCTCGAGCCCGAGCCCTGGAATCAACCTCGAGGCCCCAAGTCAACAGGGTTGAGGCCCTGAATAGCCGACCTAACAGTTTGATTATAGCCCTCTCTCTAACTTTGTTTCGTCTCTAAATCTCATATACTTAGTATCAACTGCTTAACAAACTAGCATAAAAATAGATCACATATTTTTAGAGTCCCATCAACAAATTTAATTGTTATTACCATTTTCACGGTAAACAGTTTGGCGCCCACCGTAGGACTAAAAATAATAGCGATTATTTTCTTGCTGGTTTTACTATAAAACGCAAGTTCTCTTTTACGTTTTTTCTTGTCCAAGATCTTCGATTTCAGGTCGAAATATCTAACTCGGTAAACGGAGATGAAAACAACAATCTTGAGTATCATGGGGAAAACGGTGTGGCTGTTCCAGGTGTTGTGCCACCACAAAACCCTGGGAATGCACCGGAGCCAGTCCCCGTGGACGCGGTCTCAAGCGACGCCCAACGCATCGACATAAGCTCCCACACTGACAGGAGCGTACACCAAGGGGATCAACAAGAAGCACAGAAAACCCCAACTAGGGAAGAATGTGAGGTTAACCTTCATGTTATTTTTGAAATGTTGCAGGCACGACAACTAGCTATTGCTCAGCTGCAAAGTCACCCAAAAACTCCTAGCACGGTAGCACCGGGGACAGCTCCCCCAGCCGAACAGGTACCTGAGAGATCAAGCAATAACGGGCCGATAGCCGACCCTATCATCATAAAAATGCTCGAGGACCTCACCAAAAGGATCGAATTGGGCGAGAAAATGAAAGAAGCCAACGACAAAAAGGTCAAAACCTACAACTCCAGGGTCGACCAAATTCCGGGCGTACCCCCGGTCCTGAAAGGTGTGGATTCGAAGAAGTTCATACAAAGGCCGTTCCCCAAGGAAGTGGCCCCGAAACCCATCCCGAAGAAGCTCAGAATGCCGAAACTCCCAAAGTACAATGGGACCTCAGACCCCAATGAACACGTTACTGCCTACACTTGCGTTGTAAAGGGCAACGACATAAAAAATGACAAGATCGAATCCATGTTATTGAAGAAGTTCGGGAAAACACTCTCGGGTGTCATTGTCGCTCCCCCTTTTTCCCTCTACGGGGAGAAGTCCGGGTTTCGACATTCATGGGGTGAAATGACTCGTTTCCTTTTGGGAATTGAGTATTTGAAGAGTCGCCACCTAACGGATTATGGTGCATTAGGGCACCTAGAGCGATTAGCTCTTGGGTTGGTTTGCATTACCAGAGATTAGAGTAAGGACTCGAAATAACCTCGAGAGGAAGGTGTTAGTCACCCCTCTTGATCCACAACTCTGTGTCCCGACCGAACTTATATTCACAAATTAGTCCATACAAATAGTTGAATCAAATAAGTTGTTTGTAAAGCATATTGAACAATTCAAGTAGTGAAATAAAAGTTTGAACAAATAATAAACAAACAAAGTTTTAAACAAGGAGAGGATTTGGGGTAAGGAGGGGTCCTAGGTTGTTTATCCTATAGGATCACCCCACGCAATGTTCGGTAAACACTCCTCCATGAGAGGCTACACGTGACATTAACGTGTAGTCATCATATCCCATGTCTACCCTTCCCATCCCCTTATCGGTCATGCAAAACGAGTGTTTGGTCAATAATTCCTATTGCGTGCGGCTACCCCTCCCTTCTTAATGGTCCGGGAGGGAGTTAGGACCTCTACCTATAGGTAGTTCTAGACGTACCCCTAAGGTTTAGAAAGGCGAAAAAAATCTAAGGCGACAGTCAAAACATTTGGGACTTTCACACATAATGGGAGCAATTAAGAGGCTCAAAGTTTGCTCTTCAAACAAACATACAAGCAGCACGACTCAAACACAGTTAAGGTCTTTATTAATCAAAGTCCTAAAGCAGAATCTCTAAGTGGATATGCAGAAACAGACCAAACTTTCAGATACAAAAGTTATATCCTAGTAGCTGCCTAGGGCCTCTTCTTTAAAAGCTTATTGAAATCAGAACTTTGAATGACAGAAACCGCTTCAGAGAAATGTAGGTTTTGAAAATGCCCTAAGGCTTGCCTATATGCAATACTGTATCTATGTTAATGCAGAAACAAACAAGTTTTTGAAATAGACCCTTTTAGTACCTATAGGCAGGATATCTAATGAGATTAAAGCAATTTTGAAAGGACTAGTTTTAGAAAATGTTGACACTTATTAAGACTGGTTTTAAGAAGCAAGCTAGGTGAAATGAAATTGATCTATTGGGCTAATTAGAATTACCAAACATATTACTATTTTTAGTCAATTTGCAGTAACATATGAAAGACTTATTAAAGCTGAATCAGAATTAGGTCCTATAGGCATGGTATCTATACTTTAATCGATTTAAAACATGATGGCTTGGAACCTAAAAACATAGTTTCTAACATGACAAATGTAGAATTTATGAACATGGTTTCTATCTGATGCAAACGACGTTAAAAGTGAAGTCCTTATAGGCATGCTTTCTATTTGATGCAGAGGAAATTAGTAGTGGAATCCTATAAGTATGATTCTCTATTATGCAAAAGCAACCAG